AGCCGCTCTGAGACACCTTTGGGTAGTGAAGGGCGGGGTATAAATCCAATCTCTTCTCTTCTTCCTCTTCTTCTTTCAAAGCAAGGGAGAAGCAGAGGGGCTTTGCTATTGCCTTTCTCTGCAGAGCCTGCCTTGGTGGTCTCCCATCCAAGACTTACGATGACCCCAGCAAGGGGCTTTCAAGGTAGGTGAGAAGCAGAGGTGGTTGGCCACTGCCTTCCTCTGCAGAGCCTTCCTTGGTGGTCTCTCATCCAAGACTCATGGTGATCCCAGCAAAGGGCTTTCAAGGCAAGTGAGAAGGAGAGGAGCTTTGCCATTGCCTTTCTCTGCAGTGCCTGCCTTGGTGATCTCCCATCCAAGTACCAACCCTGCTGTGCTTCCAGGATCTGACAAGACTGGGTTATACCAAGCTACCTTCCCTCCACTATCCTATTGCTTGCAAAAAAAAAAAACCCTCTTGAATAATTCAGTTTTGCATAGTTTGCAGAAAGCCAGGAGAATGTGAGCTTTCCTGACCTCTTCAGGCAGGCCATTCGCCAAGGTGGGGCCCACAATGGAGAAGGGACGTGTATGGGCAGTTGTTGACTTTGTCCATTTGCAGGCTGGCACCTGCAGAAGGTCTCTGTTTGTGTGCATGCCAAGATCAGCAGCAGGTATGGTCGCTCATTGTGGGGAGAGAGTATACAGTCCAGGAGAAAGTATTGTCTTGAGCATGTCTGAACGAACATGTTTGACGTTCACAGCCTTTGCTCAGTAGGGCCTTACAAACATGTCCCCTTCCTTCTCGTCCCACCACCTAGTCCCCACACTTGTGTATTTGGGATGTACATTGAAACAGGTTATAATCTTCAGATACATTAACAGAAGCATTGTGTCCAGATCACGGGAGGTGGTAGTTCCGCTATGTTCTGCTATGGTCAGGCCTCACCTGGAGTACAGTTTTGGGCACCGCATTTTAGGAAGGATATTGACAAGCTCGAGCGTGTCCAGAAGAGGGCAACCAGGATGGTGAGAGGGTTGGAATCCAAGTCCTATGAGGAAAGGCTGAAAGAGTTGGGTATGTTTAGCCTGGGAAAGAGAAGGTTTAGAGGGGACATGATTGCAGTCTTCAAGTATCTGAAGGGCTGTCGTGTAGAAGATGGAGCAGATCTATTCTCTCTTGCTCCGGATTGCAAGACTAGATTGAATGGGTGGAAATTACAAGGGAGTCGTTACCGGCTAAATATCAGGAGAAACTTCCTAACTGTCAGAGTGGTTGAGCAGTGGAACAGACTGCCTCTGGAGGTGGTGGATGCTCCTTCGCTGGACATGTTCAAGCGGAGGCTGGACGACCCTCTTTCAGGTATGTTGTAGGTATGTAGGGCTATTTTTCAGTGCAGGGGGTTGGACTAGATGACCTACAACTCTAACATTCTATGATTCTATGATTCTAATTGTGAGCCACTTTGGAGTCAACTAGGTTGAAGAACAAGGTATGATAAACGAACAGATAAATGCCATGCCCAGTTTAAGAGAATGAATGGAGGGCCTGTGTTAGAATAGACACCGTCAAGTGTACAAAAGAAGTCAGCTGCTGCACGGGGTACCAAAGGAGCAAAGATAGATTAGGCAGAGAGATTGATGGGTGCAACCCGCTGTCTAATCTGCTAAATGCAGGATCTCCATATGAGCCCTGTAGAGCACTGAGCACTGAGGTCTACCAACCAACATCTTTTGGTAGTCCCTGGCCCCAAGGACATCCAACTTGCCTCAACTAGGGTCAGGGCCTTTTCAGACCTGGCCCCTGCTTGGTGGAATGAGCTCCCATATGAGATCAGGGCCCTGTGGGATTTATTACAATTCTGGAGGGCCCGTAAGACGGAGCTCTTCCACCAGGCTTTTGACTGAGGCAGCAGACGTCCCTCTCCCCCCCAGTTGATCTCCCATTGGTGGCTTTGATCTGAATAGCTGTATAGGAACCATCCACTGCTGAGACATCTGGCTAAATTATACATGGCACTTTATGAGCTATGTTGTTCTATATTGTTGTTTTAAACTGCGGTGCTGGCTAAAGTTAAGACGCTGAACTGCAGGCTGTGGAAGGGCGGTAGTTCAGCAGTTCGTGACCCGGGTTGCCGCATGACGGAGTGAGCTCCCGTCTCTAGTTCCAGCTCCTGCCAACCTAGCAGTTCGAAAGCAAGAAATTGCAAGTCAATAAATAGGTACCACTTCGGTGGGAAGGTAACAGCGTTCTGTGCGCCGTGGTGTTTAGTCATGCCGGCCACATGACCACGGAAACGTTTTCGGACAGCGCTGGCTCTTCGGCTTGGAAACGGAGATGAGCACCGCAACCCTAGAGTCGGATTCGACTGGCTTTCGAGCAAGGGAGACCTTTACCTTTACCTTAATATTGTGTTGTGTTCTGTATTGAGACTGATGGAACCCGCCCTGAGCCTGCTCACGGGGAGGGCGGGATACAGGACCAATAAAGCAAAACAAATAAAAAAAAATAAATGCTGTTTCCTTGTTTGTCCACAGAATGGAGCTCACTGGTTTCCTCCTCCTTCCCACTCTGCTTTTCAGCCATGTAGCTACCAGCTTAGAACTTCTGTCTCTGTCCAGCAATCTAACTTCCTTTATGAACAAAAACCTCACTCCGCCAACGATCGGGGTGGGGTGAGAAAACCCTCAAGCTGTAGGTTCAATAGTGACTGCCAAGTAGATCCAGAGAAACATAATTCAAAGTTGTTTGGACAGTACTGTGCAGACCTGATGTTAGTGGCCCAATGAAGCTGACAGGCAGTTGATTCAGAACAGACAAATGGAAATACTTTTTACAGACAACACTGAATTAGTTTGTGTAACTCATTGCCACAAGATGTAGCAATGACCGTTAACCAGGGCTTTTTTGGTAGAAAAATCCCAGCAGGAACTCATTAGCATAATAGGCCACACCCAACAGCAGAAACTCATTAGCATATTAGGCCACACCCCTGACAACACAATTCATTTGCATATTAGGCCACACCCCCATGTTACCAGAAGTGTGCTCATCCAGCCACACCTACCTTTTGCTTCTTATTCTGTTTACCTTGTTTGTTGTCAAAACCCAGAGCTTTTTTTGTAGCAGGAATTCCTTTGCATGTTAGGCCACACACCCCTAATGTAGCCAATCCTAATGAGTTTCTGCTGTTGGGTGTGGCCTATTATGCTAATGAGTTCCTGCTGGGCGTGGCCAACTTGGATGCCAGCTGGAACTCCATTCCTTCATTCCTGCCCAAAAATAGCCCTGCCGTTAACGTAGATAGCTTTAAGAGAAGGTTAGACAGATTCATGGTGGAGTAGGGCTGCTAATACTGCTTCAGCCAATGTGAGGAGAATTTGAAGGCAGTGCTTGGGGATGGTGGCGTTTGTGGAGGATGTGATGTCAGTCAGTCTAGGAATACCTGCCAATCTCCATGGCAAAGACCATAGAAATGTGAGAAATTCCTAGAGCATCACCCTGGAAGCCATTTTCTGATTTTCCTCCCCTCATGCTTGTCAGTGTCTGGAGGGTGGAAGATTGGAGCTGTAGGTGGGCAGGTGGCAAGCCTATGATGGAGTGGCCCATCAATAGCTATTAGCCACCATGACAAAATAGAACCACGAAGTTCAGCTGTAGTAAGCCTCTGAATACTGTTGCCGGGGATGACAACAACACACATAGGACATGCCCTCTGTGCCCTGCTTGTAGGCCTTCTGCGGATATTGTTGTCATTGTAGTTTGTTGTTGCTATCGTTGTTGTTATTATTTATTGGGTTTTTTTTACCGCCCTTCCCGGAAACTGGGCTCAGGTCGGTTTACAGTGAGATAAAACCAGCAGTGAGACAATTAAAACCAAGATCGCAAAGAATAGAACATTAGATTCTAGGAAAAAAACAAGATGGCGTCCGAGTCCTGAGGGTGTGTCTGTCTCATGGGGGTATGTGAAAAAGTGGAAGATGGAATCGTTGCTGCTCTCAGCCAAATGCCTGACAGAACATCTCTGCCTTACAAGCCCTACAGAACTATAATAGGTCCCATAAGGCCTGGATGGAACTTGGCAGAGAGTTCCACAAGGTCGGGGCCAGGGCAGTAAAGGCCCTGGTCGACCATGACTGGATACCTCTTGAGCCGGGGACCAACCAGGAAATGTCAGTCAACAGAGTGCAAGGCTCTCCTGAGGGTATACCAGGAGAGGCGGTCCTGAAGATATCTGGTAGGCCACTGGTCGGTCACCATGTAGAACAGAACCTGGACTCAATGGACCATTAGTCTGATCCCTCACAGCTGCGTTTGTGAGTATACCTCACGAGATATGTACGAAGATGGCTGTCTTCACTGTGAGCTCACAGAAGCGTTTGGTTGCGTCTGCTGGAAATGGGATCCTGGATTTGGCAGAGCTGGGTTCAAATCACGGAGGCGATTCTTCTGCCCTTCCTCTGCAATGCAGGGCAGCCCTTTCTAGAGCAGCCCAGAATTCCTCCTCGTGAAGAAGTCAGTCGTGAATGGATATTTCCATGTCGAACAGCCCGCATGAATGTCGGGGGGGAAACCATAAATAAACATAATTGTGGCTGAACTCGGGAGCCCGCAAGCGTGGCGTTAAAATTACAGCTTTTGTCGAGCTGATGGGCTGTGAGTTTCCTTTAAGAATCTTCTGGCTGAAGTCGACAGTACAGTGAGAGGCAGGAGGTGGGGACAAAACATGAGGGGGAGAGGAAGATAAAAAAAAAGATGTGAAAGCTGCAAAAGTTACTCCCGAGGAAAAATGCAGGGCTCGTCCTTAATCCTGACGTCAGGTCTGTCTTTAATAAAACCTCCCCGGAGCCAAAAGGGAGAAGTCAGATCTGTGTCAACTTGGCGGCTTGTGTAGGACACTTCTGCCTGCCTCCCCCCCTGCCCCCGGCTTTTCCAAGTGGTGTATTTGTTGTAAGGGAGTTATTTTTACATCCAAAAAAGATCTGGGTTCGATCCTCATGTATTTCACCCTGGCTTCCAGTGATGAGGTGGCCGCTTCTGCCCTGGATTCTAGCAACAAACAGCATTTTGCAGGTGAGCATCATTTTATTTCCTCCCCCCTCCTTCACTTTCTCCCCTCCTTTGGGTTTGGCTGAAAGAACTGCAGATCACTAACGTGGCAAAGAAGAGACATGCCAGCTGAGGCACCGATGCAGGAGCGAGATGGGAGAGGTGGGAAAGGAAAAGGGGAGAGAGGAGAAAGGGGTGACACGTCCCAGTCTGGGGGGGATGGAAGACCCCCAGGAGCATCTCTGAACTGTAAGCTTCTGCCACCTTTTTAACCCAGTGGGAAGCCATTCAGATTTGAAAGGGCAAATGGATCGGAGGGCGGACTAACAGACCAAGCTCACTGGCAACTGGACTGGAATCCACTTCGGGGGCTGCTATAGGTTCTGTAAATCTCCCGTGCAGCTCTGCTGACCTTCAGAATTTGGCATGACTTTGAAGAGTGCTCTTGTGCCTTAAAAAGGGGGCGTGTGACTGATGGTATTTGCAAGGAATGAACACAGCAGCAGCAGGCAGCCGCAGCATATTAGGTGCCTGCGGAGTGAATCGGTGGTCTCAGGATACCGCCCCACGTGGCAGGCCCTCTTAGCATGCGGCTGCGCCAGGGGACACCCATCTCACTCAGCTTGGCTTGTTCCCGGACTATTTAAATTTCCCGGTCAGCCCTTGGCCCTAAGGGGGACACTCTCAAGAGCGCCCTGGTCTCCGACTGCTGCCAGGGAAACAGAGATGTAAGGAAGAGAAAAAGAAAGAAGAGATAGACATTAGCTGATTCTGCATCGGCTTTTCCCTCCGTTGTTTTACCAAACCCAGGCTGGAACAGGAAAGGTGCAGTTCAAAGCCACATTCAAATACCCCTGGGGGCAACGCCATACTGACTGCAAAGTCGCCCCTGAACGGCCATAAATCTATGCAGAAGGTACCATAAAACCCAACGATCAAAGAAAGTGAAAGTGGCAGGGAGTGTGGAGGAGGCTACCATAAAACCCGATGATCAAAGGAATGACAGGAGCCGGCCATGCAAAGGCGATTTTCTGTTCCAACGTGGGTTTGCTAAAACAACGGAGGGAAAAGCCAATGCAGAACTGCCCATTAACAAACGGGAGCAGGGCAATAGCAGTTTGGTTGGGTTGCCAACCTCCTGGTGGGACCTGGAGATTTCCCAGAATTAAACTGGTTCTCCTGACTACAGAGATCAGTTGCCCTGAAGGCTGGGTTTCAGAGAGCACGTGTCTGTGCATATCAAAGCCGGGCTCACATGGGGAAATGGTGACTGTATATATTGGGGAGATACGTGCGGCACATTCAAGTGCCAAGACTGAACACTGTAAAATGGTTTTTATGCTCACGAAGTAGCTTTTTTTGAAAAAAAGTGTATGAATTGGAGTCAAATATTGCAATTCCATACAACTAGGAATCAAAATTAATTAATTAATTAAAAAGCAGAAATGAAATGAAGCCAATGTCAGTTTCCTCCCGGCTATTGGGAAGTCTTCTTGAATCAAAAGTTTTTTCACTTATCAAAAACTAGCAGTAAAGCCCGTTGTGAAAGCAATACAACAGGATCTAGAAAGAGGCTCTGGGGAAGTGCTCTGGCTTTGGGCAAACAGTGTCAATTTGCTGCGGTGACCTCAGCAGGGTATAATGACAGAGTCCACTGTTTTCTCCAGAGGAACTGATCTCTGCTACCTGAAGAGCAGTTGTAATTGTGAGTGATCTGTAGCCCTCACCTGGAGATTGGCAGCAATTGTTACCCAGGACAAAGTGGCTGGTTTGGAGGGTGTAGTCTATGGCATTCTACCTGTCTGAGGTCCCACCCCTCTGCAAACCCCACCCTCTCCAGGCTCCACCCCTCAAATCCCCAGGAATTTGTCAGCATGTAGTTGGCAACCCCATCTCCTTCCCAGCTAACCATCAACCTACCATTATCTGCCCCTTTGACTTCAGCTGACTTCTGCCCTCCCTTCTGCAGAGCAGTTGTAATTCTGAGTGCTCTCCAGCCCTCACCTGGAGATTGGCAACAATGGTTCCCTATGTGGGGCTGACTGGTTTGGAGGGTGGAGTTTATGGCAGTGTACCTGTCTGAGGTCCCACCCCTCCTCAAACCTCACCCTCTTCAGGCTCCATCCCTCAAATCCCAGGAATTTCCCATCTGGAGTTGGCAACCCAATCAGGACTGGCCCCAATCTTGAAGGTTCCATATGCAACTGACATTCCAACTGCCTTGCGGGGAGGGGGGTGAGTTTGAGGTGTGGAATGCAGTGAAGTCCAATCAGCTTCCATATGCAAAAGACCTTGAAGGTTCCATATGCAACTGACATTCCAACTGCCTTGCGGGGAGGGGGGTGAGTTTGAGGTGTGGAATGCAGTGAAGTCCAATCAGCTTCCATATGCAAAAGACCTTGAAGGTTCCATATGCAACTGACATTCCAACTGCCTTGCGGGGAGGGGGGGGAGTATGAGGTGTGGAATGCAGTGAAGTCCAATCAGCTTCCATATGCAAAAGACCTTGAAGGTTCCATATGCAACTGACATTCCAACTGCCTTGCGGGGAGGGGGGTGAGTTTGAGGTGTGGAATGCAGTGAAGTCCAATCAGCTTCCATATGCAAAAGACCTTGAAACACTGGGCAAGACTGCACAAAGCAGCCAGTCAACCCAGCCAGCGTCTTCTGACTGACAGTTCAAGCGTCCATACACTAAAGGAGTGCATTTTAGAACTTTGGCACCCACTACTCAATTATATATAAGGAGAGATCAGGAGTGAAGTGTTCAGATAGGATTCTGCCACCAAAGTTCTCTTGGTGTTTCCATCAGGTAAGGAGTCCCAAAGGGCTAGCCAGAACCTGAGGGCTACCTACTGATGATGGCAGGACACTTTGTGTCTGGAGGTATATGGGGCCAGGAGCAATGTTCCCTCTAAGCTGTGAAGTCTTGTGAGCAAAAATTCTACTTGGTGAGCTACTGGCATTAAAGTGGTGAGCGAGCCATTTGGCTACTGCATAAATTAGTTTGCTCTGGAGCCCTCCTTCCTGAGCGGAGACAAAAATGTGTGAGCTGGAAGCTAAAAAACTGTGAGCTAGCTCACTCTGACTCAGCTCAGAGGGAACACTGGCCAGGAGACCTCCAAAGCGGATCTTGGAGACTCGATCGTGTCTCTTTCTCCCCCCCGAAGTTGTAGCCAACTGACCCTACTAAGCTTCCAAGATCTGATGACATCAGGCTGACTTGAGCTATCCAGGTCATGACAATTATGAACGCATGAAGCTGCCTTATACTGAATCAGACCGCTGGTCCATCAAAATCAGTGTCGTCTACTCAGACAGGCAGCAGCTGTCCAGGGTCTCAGGCGGAGGTCTTGCACATACACCTATTCAGAGGTCATTTCAGGGGGGAACGCGGGGGAACGCAGTTCCCCCGGGTGAGGTGCAGGGGGCGGGGCACATGATGAAGCCCCGCCCCCTGCTTCCGGCCGCCCCGCTTCCAGCCCTCATTCAGCCAGGAGGAGGCAGGAGAAGAGGGAGGGTAAGTTGCTTCCTCCCCGCCTCTCCCCCCCCCTGCCTGCCTGGGGCCAGGGAGGGCCTTGGTGGGGCTTCCTCGCACTTCTGCTGGCCTTGCAGGTCCACCGCCGGGCCCCTGATTTCAGGGGGTGTGGCATATGCTAATGAGTTATGCTAATGAGTTCCCCTAGCTCTTTTTCTACTAAACGACCCCTGCACCTACTAACTGATCCTTTTGACTGGAGATGTCGGGGATTGAACCTGGGACCTTCTGCATGCCAAGCAGAGGCTCTACCACTGAGCCGCCGGCCCCTCCCTCACATCTATAGTACAGCTATAAGCTGATTTAAGCATTGCAGCTTCCCTTTGAGGCATCCCGTGAATTGTTCTGTACAGGGAATGTAAGTCATTCAAGTTCTCAGTCCAAGGCAAGGTTGCCAACTCCGGGTTGAGAAATTCCTGGAGACTTGGGGAGGGGGCTGGAACCTGGGAAGGTTGGGGCTGCGAGAGGGTGATGACCTTAGTGAGATATAATGCCCACAAAGTCCATCCTCCAAGGCAGCCATTTTCTCCAGGGGAAATGCTCTCTGGAACACCCTCTGCAACTCTGGGAAATCTCCAGGCTCTCCCTTCCTGGAGGTTGGCAACCCTAGTGCAAGGACTGTGCTGGCCCCTCGCTGTCATCAAGACAGCTTGCAGGTAGTGTCGATTTACGGCCTCTGAATGTGGATTTACTGCCGTTAACCGTGGCTAGTAGCCCCAGAGAGACCTGCTCTGGAAGGGAACAGTCTTCCTCAATGCCTGCTGCTTCAAGAACTTTAACAGAAGATGTCTGGGATTGCCCTAGAGGCATTTTGACTGTGAATCCTATGCTCCGCCACTGAACCGCAGAAGTGAAATTCTCCAAGACAGAAAGATGCTGAGATAAGGATGCCATGAAGGACATGCATGGAACCAAAGTAATCTTTAAAGGGAATATTTTTGTAAACAGTCTCCAAGAGACAAGGATATTTTGGTCTGCTTGCTTGCTGGGAGAGATCAGGATCTGTCCATTTGGTCTCTGAAGTCTTCCAGAGGTTGTTTGGTTAGCGATGAGGATGAGCGGGGGCCTGGAGACCAAGCCCAATGAGAGAAGATAGAGGGACGTGGGGATGTTCAGTCTGGAGAAGAGGAGGTTGGGGGGGGGGGCAGGATTGTTCTCTTGGTGTAGTGGTTAAGTGCGCAGACTCTAATCTGGGAGAACCGGGTTTGATTCCCCCACTCCTCCACTTGCACCTGGCTGGATGACCTTGGGCAAGCCATCGTTCTGACCAGAGCTGTTCTTGAAAAAGAGCAGTTTCTGTCAAGAGCTCTCTCAGCCCCACCTACCTCACAGGGTGTCTGTTGTGGGGAGGGGAAAGGAAAGGAGTTTGTAAGCTGCTCTGAGACACCTTTGGGTAGTGAAGGGCGGGGTATAAATCCAATCTCCTCCTCCTCTCTCTTCTTCTTCTTCTTCTTCTTCTTCTTCTTCTTCTTCTTCTTCTTCTTCT